ACTCGGCCAAATAAGTTTTTACAAAATGATTAACCGTGAGTGACGCTCATGTGATTATCAGGGAGTACATAAGTTGTAACCAAGGGGAGCACACTCCCAACTCATGTCTATGAAAACGGCTTGAACCTTAGTCAGTGTTGGGGTAAATTCGACATTGATGTTTTCAGTTTGCAGGAGATTTGCTCGACTGCTTATACTGATTATTTGCATGCATGATTGTGTCGCTAAACCTCCAATTAGACTGACAAGGATTCGAGATATTTACTGAGCGAGCATCGGATAGAGAAACATACTGTAATCATCTGTAGTGAATGAAGCTAAAAGAAAAACAACACTAATGATAATTATAAGTCAATTTGCTGACTGATTTTGCTAATAGTTTCATTAATTTTATCAATCATATTACGTGATTGTCAAGTTATGACAATGCTTTATGACGATATCCTGAAACTATTACGTTTAACTAGTTATAGTGTTGAATGAGAATTAGTCAGTGGAAAAATAGATATTGTTACTTTAGGTGATTCGAGATTGTCAGAAATTTATAACGTCAAAGAATCCGAGACACCTAATTTAATTATAAATTTTAATTCAGAAATATTCGTTTAGTGTTAATTCTAGTAGGCTACGGAGTTTTGATTTTAAGCGTTTGTTTAGCCAACAGCTACCTGAGGATTTAGTTTTTTCATTAGTGCAGTTGATAGTACCTAAATTTTTAATCTTATTATCTAAACTATGTTCGCACTTTAGGCTAATAATATAATAAATCAATCCATAAACCCAAATACGATTAGCAAGAACAGCTATGATGGGTTTATTGATAAATGTTAAAGGCGACCCAGATGATTTCTAAATTTAGAAGACATGAAGATATAGTGTAACGTATGTGCGGGCCAGATTAACAAGGAGGTTGTTGACGTATATGACAATTTAAAAATAATGAACATGACCAGAAAATAGTTTTAAAGTTAAGACTGCTTGTGAAACTTCAGGCAGGAATATGATGCGTTATAAACATTCCATAAGGAGTTACTGCATTTAGCCTATGGACACTTACAAATATATAGCAAAAGGAACCGGAAAACATATACATGTTAAGTAAAAAAAATCATCCAGTAAAATAGTTGAACTCGCCTTGATTATTTTTGAAAATTAGATTATTCAGTGGACGACATATATAACGCCATTCGTGAGTAGTATTGATCCAAAAGCATCCAGAATAAAACATGCAGTATAGCAATTAATTCCAGGGTGCTTGATGCTGTTGAGGTTTTTGACACTCGCTCGGATCAGAACAATCGAATGAATCCAGATAATTGTATGGTTGTCATTGAACGAACCATCTAAAATGATTGCAGAAAACTTATAGCTGAAACTCACCGTATGTTTTTGGAGTAGTCATCCTCGTTGTTTGGCAATGGAACTCGAGAATATGAAATTAGGCAGGCAGTGGTCGGAAGAAAAGATATTACAGGATAGTGCATCGTTTACAACAGGATGAGGTGTTAAGTGAAGGAACACTGAGAATTAGATCCAGATAACTATTTAGTCCTTGATCGCATTGTTAGTCAATGTATATTTACGCTATTTACAGGTCATATTTGCTAGAGCTTAATGTTTAAACAAGACTATGTCGCTGAAGCATGTAAATGCTATTACAGCTTGTTAACGAACCATCAAAGCTAATTAGTTAATATAGACGACCAGTTTTTATTATCGATTGAGCTAGTTTGTCATGAGGACTAATCAATATAACATTACGATAATGCATGTGAGCATTAATCAGAGGACTATTAGAATACAGTGTTAACATAAATATAAAATCGATCGAGAAAGTTGAAGTGGAAATAAGGATTAATAATAATAGGTTGCGTTTCTTTAGTTGGGCTCACCAATGTAGAATTATGGTCTACTATGATATTAGTACTGCTCTAATAATAGACCTAATCCCAAAATTGTAGATTCGTCATGATATAACTGCCTAATCTATAAGATCTTACGTGGAAGTCACACCATCGACTACACCAACTCACTGTATCGTATCAATTACCAATACATGATGAGGAATAAGGTTAGGCTAGAGAAAGAACAATATATTTAATATGAATAGAAGATATACAGTAACACTGAGATGGACCACGCCTGCATGGACGAGCCATGCCACTCGATCAACTCCAGTCCATTCAATTCATTGTTCGCGCCTTCTCCATTCTTAGGTATTTATCCGCGTTAAATATTGAATATCTATTTTCTGAGTAGTCTCGTGTTCAGCTTTGTGGATTGTGTGGCTATTGTCCAATGCCACTACAGATGTATATTTTAATTAATAAAAGAATGCGTACTCAGAGTAATAATTTCCACATAGATGACATAAAGTTAATATTTTGTATTCACAGTTGATTAACACATAATATTCTTGATTATAAAGAAGGTGAAAATCACAGTATACACAAATAGTAAAACTTCAATAACCAAGTAATTCTATACATCATTTTAAGATCCATAGTCAGTCAGAAATCTAAGCATCAAAAATGGAAATCAATTATAAGTAAGTATATTTACAGTTCTACAGCGAGTTATGGGTAATTATTCTACGATTAGAACGGAAAAGAACTTCAGCTTTACAATGAGTTCTCAGTTGACCACAGCTGCTACCTTGGTGTGGTAGTCAGTGTTGCCTATTATGATGAGACTAGAACACTTATTCATCTATGTTCAATTGTGTCAGGGGGGTTGGTCGGAGAACGGCTGGGCTAAAACCACAAAACTTGCAGTTAGAGGGTGGTGTTCTGTCGATTGTACTGGGGTGCGATGGTAGCAAAATGTTTACCTCAAACAACCGCCCAACACTCGCTTTCCATCCTCTTAATTTCGTAAAAAGCCCCCCCGCCGCGAGAAGGTAGTGAGAAGGATTTCCCTGGACGTGATTATGTACGCGTGGCCATGTGAAAGCGTTTCAAGAGGGAGAGCGGACTCTCCCCACCCTCGGCCGTACCAGGGCATTCGGAGGCCTGTAAGTGGCCGATCGCTTTCTTTTGGCGTATATGGGTTACATTGTTTTTTATAATAAATGTGTATGACTGGTTTATTCCAAACAATCCAACGACTAAACATAAATATAATACAACACAACAGCGTGTCTGAGTTACAATTGAATGGAGAATTTTCGACTGTGATGAGTGTTGTGTAAACTGCACTTGGAGAACTATTGAAAATATTCGAAATCTAAAACAACGCTATCAATTTTTTCCCCAAAGTCAATATCAAATAAAAATTATAAGTAGCCATCATTAATTGTTTTCCGACATCCTCATAAAGCTTTGTTTCAAATTATCAATCACGTAATATGGTTGATTTAAGCCATGAAACTAAAAACTAAATTAGTCGATAATCTAAACAACAACTATTATCACAAATAGTGTTGTCTTCTCGAATTTATCTTTACCTAACACTGATGGTTTCGAGAAATTTTCAAGTCACTTGGTCCCTTAGTAAGTGCTACGAACGTTATCAGTTTTACTAGAGGTTTGACGGTAGCCACTTAAGCAAATTATCACTGAAATCGGTCAGACAAGTCTCCTGCAAACTGAAAGTATCACTGACGTATTCATACAAACGTTGACTGAAGGTCCCGACCATTATCATAGGAATGGTTTGAAAGTTATACTCGACTTGTCTACAGCAGGTGTACTCCCTGACCAGCACTCTTTTTATCAGCTTATTACTATTTAGTTGACTGAAAACATCGTACAGCGCATCATTCTTGATGGTCCCATGTGAGCTGTATTGATTTTCAAGCTTAATTTAAAACAGATTGAGTAGTGAATTCTATCTAAGCCAACGTACAACTAGCGTTCCAATGTGGCTTGTTGAGAAACTTTGGTGTACTAACCCATTCTTTTATTTTCTTTCTCGTGTCTGAGTAACTTACACTTAGAGAACATCGTATGAATATCCCGAGCTCACAATTCTGGGGAAAATTCGACCCATTTTTTCAAATTTTGGGGAAGCCGCTATAGTAAACTTTGAGATGACACCAAAACACCGAAACTTCCCCAAACCTAGGGACATTCCCCAATATTTTCCCTTAATCTTGGTAAAGGTTGTAGGGCCGGTGAAATGTCATTAAGCCCTGGCTAAATCATCTAGCGGTTGAGTCAATGATTATCGAAACGATCATCGTTCCCTGTCAAGGTCAAGTATAAACAACGCGCATCAGTTAATTTTACACCATGGATCGGCCTATACGGCAGTGGTTTTACTTTCGCTTGTATCTACTATAATTAATATATTTCTGTAATAACGTCATCTGTGTTGTTCAGTTTTCAAAACGCTTATAGTAGTCCACGTAAGGTGCTGACTACGAGGTGTGACTCCGACGTTAGCTGGTTCGTCACACCATTCCCGTCTAACTCGAGTAGGCCTCCGACCATTCGACATAGATCATTTAGACTGGTGATTTACAAGGTCATTTGACTTGGGGGAATTCCTCAAGATTTACCCAAACTTTGGTGAAGGTCATTTGAGTTTGTGGGTCTCCCCAAAATACTCCAAATTTCGGAGATCAGGTTGAGTCTCGATAACAGAAGCACAGATCACACACGTACTCGAACCATCGTCCAACTGGACGCTAGGTCACGCACTTGACCAATACTCGTAGTGCGATTGACTATAATACTTTTTTACATTAATGTGCGTATACTGCGAAAATAATTACCAACCAAAGAAGTCATATTAACTTATGTACTTCTTTCAAAGAGGTCTCAAAATTATCCGGACCTGTAAATCGTCGCGACAACATATCATTGAAGATTCGTCCTATATCATGCATTATCACGATGGCATCGTTTTCGTTACTTGAAGGACGGACGTTATCAGATATAGTGTGGCTGAACTCAATTCAAATCTAAAAATATCTTGATTTGACCGCTTCTGTAAGACCTTGCAAATTGTCGAGGTGACGCACCAATCGTTTTACGACCGCTTGACCTTCAAGTGCTCAGCAATCTTCAACAGTGGACGATCCCCTGAAGCGTTGCCCATCGAATTTGGTTGGTCCACTGGTCAGAACTGGGGAATATACTTTACTACAGTTTACTAATTCTGTTAGTATTAACTTTTCCATAAAAATCGAAAGGCCTCGTGTAAATCCTATGAGAAACTTCCTTTTTTATTTCCTTAACCATATAGTAACTAATTAGTTGAAACATCCAAATTAGATATTGTTGAAAATTGTATTAATTGTAGAAGTTCGCCGATCTGTTGTGTAAAGTCCCACTTATGGTCAAAAATCTTGGTAAGTCAGGGAGAATCGCAAACAGTGATAAATTTCAGTCATCTCAACATACCCATTTTTCAAGAATTAGAGAGGATTTCAAGAATTTGTCAAAATCCTTCTAAAATTCTCAAGAAAGATGTAAGTAAAATTTCCCCTGACCTGGGGTTTTCTCCAAAACTTTAAGGAACTCCTCAGTTTGTAAATTTTGGGGTTCTCTAATATTCCCCTAGAATTTACATCGACTTTAGGGGAAATATACTACTGTATAATATCAGAAACACTTTGCTTGTAAAACTGTTCGACAGCAAACAACTAAGTAAATATTCCTTAAAAGATGATATATGCAACCTCAATGACATCAAAGTAGTCACACGTCATGGACGCTTGTAATAACTTATAATATGTTCATGCTTCTCTATAATTACAAGACTAACATATAATATATAATCTATAGTAAACCGAAGTGAAAATATGTTCATTTTCCAGGAGCTGCTTTTTTTCTTCATTTAGGTTACATTTAGAAACCAAACATATATTTAGTTTCAACTTTCATCCGCAATGTTCTTAAGAAGCTAAAATGTTAGTTTGCAATGCAACCAATATAAAGTTAATATAAATACTATTTCAGTGGAATGGGTCTACAATGACACTCCAGGAAAAGAATTTTACTTAATATAATGAAGCATTTAAAACCTGGCTCTTATGTTTTTCTGACTGAATACACACAGCAAATGTCTGTAAGAAGTGTACATGTGTTACAAAAGGTCATGTAAGATAATACGTACGAAAATAAATTACAGTGACGTCGATGAGTACTTTTGAAACCATCTGGAAAGTGAAGATGTACAGTAGTTTCTACATAAACCTATGGACGAAATATACGAACGCATATATATCTATGCAATAACGCACTTTTATTGTTTTATGTTTACGCTATTTTGGGTCACACCCTACGCTTATTTTTCTTATCTGTTACGTCTTGTAAGAAATCCTAGCTCGCGGTACCCAACGTTCATATAATATCGTTTTCCTGACTGGTAGCATTTTCGAATACGGAACACAGAACATCTGACAAAAGTGTTTGCTCTGATTTCGACTTACTGCGAGTTGTCCGGTGGAATCTGTAGCCAATTGTATCCATTTTGGTTTTAGTTCCATGTGGTGTACTCACCAGTTCTGACGTCATTATGTAGACCGAAATCATCTTCATGGACTTACAAAGATTGCTCTTGATGATCACCGGCAGTTTTGTCATCTTTATTTCAATAAAAAAATTGTTTCAACTTACGAACTGACCACAGGGTTTTGGTCTGTGGAAATTTTTCTGGAAATATTAAGCGAAACTCGAAAATTTCCGCAACGTTTGAGGTTTTTCCCAAGATAAGTTGGAATTTCGAGGAAAAACTGCAGACCAAGGGAAAATTTAGGGGTTTTAGTTGGATTTTGTCTGAGAGTCTTAGTGGGACTTCGACAAAGTTTCAAAATCCTTTCTAGCTTTGGAAGGTTACAAGGATTTTTCATAGAGAGATCCTTACGAAGCAACACTTCAAAACTCTTGCTTCACAAAAACGGTTTTGATGAGAACTTTTATTCGTGGCCGACTCCTGCTTTTCAAACTTTTTTTAACCTATTCGGTTTTCTACAAAAGGCCTACCAACGACAGCCCATTCAAGTTTGACACTTGGCTTATATTCATCTCTCAGTACTTCCCATATAATTGTTTAAAAGAAATATAAACTTTGCATAGGCTGAACTCTTTAAAGGTTATAACCGTAACCAAACTCAGCTGAATGGTGTTAGGTTGTAAAAGTAGCCCAAAACAAAGGCTTCATTTCTTAGTGCCAGAATGACATTGTGAAATAAAGTCGGAAGTTTGATCTCGGAGTATGTAATTAACTATGATCTTAAATAAAAAAGTAATTGAGATTGTTGTGATTTTTGATTGAAAGGCATAATTTATTCCGTACCTAGGAGCTTCATGTTTCGCCAACTGCGCTGTATTCGTTTTGTGATTTCTATCTAAAATAACGTCAGTCTCATGAAAAGTAGTAGTTTTTTCTTCCACTGGCTTTGATCGGGGTGTCCGCAAAATTTCAGCAAAGCTGTGATTTTGCTTATGTAAACTAAAAAAGTCGGAATTAAGTGCTGCCGTTTGCAGTTTTCCCTAATTTATCGAGATTTCAGCCCAAAAGTGGAATTTTATACAACACTATCCGGAAACCTCAACATATATTAAAGACATATCTTCGATATGTTTATTTTCAAGATACTTTACAAAATATTTCGTGAAAACTGATGTTTTTCAAGATATAGATGTTATCTATTAGTTTTGAAAATTATCAGGATCTAATGAATGTTAACATATCTTCAGGAATGGTTTCATGCCATTTAATCATTGAATAATGTACCACGTCTTCAGTTTCTAATATGAAATAATGTGATCGAGTTGCTATTCTGCCAATTATTGTTTAGTTTAGGTTTCACCTTTCATTTTAATATATTATTTGTCTTCTTTGATACTTGTGCCCACTATATATTTTTAACTCTTAGATTAACCACAAGGTTTTATAAAATCCATTTTATTCTACTTAATGTTCTTTTAGTTTCAGCAAATTCATTTTTATCTTGTGTTTATTGAATATAGGTAGTTATGTTAAGATTGTTAGACAGTTACTGCGTCAAAACATTACCACCAAATATTCTTTATCTGCCAGATTTTATCAATGAAGAAGAAGAACAAGAACTACTAAAACATATTTATTCTGCCCCATTACCGAAGTGGGTTTCTCTACGTGGTAGACGCTTGCAAAATTGGGGTGGTATTCCTCATGTTAAAGGAATGTTAGTTGAAAACGTTCCACAGGTTTTTTAATTCATATGAATGAGTTAACAATTTAGTCTATTTAGTGGCTACAGAAGTACATGGATCGTGTTTCTGAATTGTGTTTATTTGATAATAACAACAACAATAAGGCGAATCATGTTTTGGTGAATGAATATGAACCAGGACAAGGTATATTTGTAAGTGAATGTTTTTACTTAATCTCATTATTAAAACATGAAAATTACGTTCATCATTGACTTTAATTGTTTCCCTCAAAATCCTTTGTAAATTTTATTTAATCTGTCTTTTGATTATTTACGGCCTAATATTGATCAAAATCAATCACACAATAGCAATCGCATTCATTATTTACTTTTTAAGCGTTCAATTACCATATGCCATTGCTGTCGTATGAAATATTGACACGTATTCAGAAAGCTCAGTTGCCTTTTGCCAACTTTTTCCACCTGTGGCGTGGGCGAGATGATTCTTCAACTGAAGTGGTTGGGTGTTATGTATGCCTAACCACCAACTACGTTGACGGGCGACGTTGTATGATATGAGAGAAGGCCGGAAATCTGTCCGTGGTTAAACAAAAACATACCATTCGTCTGTAAAGTATTTGACTGTTGGACTGACCCATGTAAATCGGTGTAGATTACATGGTTGGGGTCCACTCAATTATCGTAATCACTGGTCAGACCCTGAATTGTTCACAATGGCATAAAGACATCTACTTTTTCTCTTTAGCTCCTGGTCCCGAAATCTTATACCGTTTTGTTTCTTTTTTGAAATGTTAATATGAGTAACGTGATGATTTTATTCCTCGAGATATATGGTGAAGCATTTAAATATTCACCAAAATAAATGAAATGTTAGTTGTCTGGTTCATGTTTTTTAATTCTAATGAACAGCGTTTGACAATACAATGTTAATATAGAATTGACCTACAAGACAGCATATTTAGCATAGATTGTTACTAAATATCATGATGGCAGTTCTTAAATGATTGTAAGCCTGATAAGTTCAAATTGTATCATCTTATATATAGCTATTCAGAGAATGGACTCTAATTTTCCTTGTTATTTTATCATATGGCCTAATAAATGCCATTCTTGGGTTTATCTGGGTAAAATAACATAATATATGTAAACACATATGTTTCTAGTCGTTCTAGATTCTGAGTCAGTTTTATATTTAGGCTTAAACTTAGCCTGTTTTGTAGCAAGTTCAACTAATAACGTGATTTTAGAGATTAAATACGAAATGCGTTGGATATTTCATACTCTACACACACTAATCAGCAGTGAGGAAGATGAATGTCGACGAATCGTACAGTATGCGAATTTTAACTTGAGAGCTGAATCTTATGTTATTTGGATTGGTCGGAAAATCGATCAGCTTGCCAATTGGTTATTTGATTTACAAAACCAAATAATGGATAGGATAAATAAATAGATGGACGAATATATCCAATACATATGCATAATGATGTTTTTGTAATATCACAATAATTATGACACAACTTTAAACTTAGGTTTAATTCAGTTACTTATTTCCTTTAAAGAAGTACTTTAGGTCACGAAACGTGATATCCATTTCTAAGAGTGCATAAACTTAATTGATGGGCCCAAAGTTACATTGTATAACATATTTCCGACCTAGTAATAAGCTATTCAGTTTCTGTTTTACGATTTTGGCCACCTTTAAGTTATAATTAAGTTCAGCAAAGTTGGATTATGACTTTTTCTTGGGTACTAGTTAAACTTCACACTATCCATATATTCAACCTGATTAAATTTCTTTTGCTTTTGTTCCGAAGGTGAGACTTACTCCAGTAAATCAATGTTTACAAAGTTACTGATATCACTGTGTTGAATTTAATTTTTCATGTTTTTAAAATTAATTCCAATAGCCTCATCATGATGGACCACTTTACTATCCTGTTGTTGCTACAATCAATCTGAATTCTTATGGAATTCTGGACTTTTATGAGCCGTTGGATACTTCTGCAGACCCAGTAACTATTTATGTTAGTATAATCGTATTTTCCTATAGCAAACAAAATCAACGTTATTTAATGATCGTTATATTGGCTCAGTTTATTTGAAACCTCGTAGCTTAAATATTGTTACTGAAAAAATGTATACACATTATATGCATGGGATTACTGAACGTACAACTGACTTATTAATAAATTATGAAGACTGTTTGAAACGTCCTGAGGAATCGGTTGAAAATGCTGCTGTTATTCATAATTGGACTGCTAGCGATTTGGGAAGTATTCACTCACAGTTATGTCATCGTGGTAAACGTGTTTCAGTAACTATACGCTATGTGCCCAATGTGAGTAAGATCAACTGGAATAATTTATTATGCAGAAGTTAAACTGTTTCCACTTTATTTACTAATACAGCTGTTGTTAATTACATCGTTTGTGATGAATTTTTATTTCACATCATAAGGAATCCGAATGGATCCACATTTTTAAATGCATTCAATGAAAACGTAGAACCTGGGGTCAATTTGTATTGGTCCAAGTTACCACACTTTACATTAGCATAGCTTCATGAAGTTAGTAGGATAAATGGCATGGTAGTCGAAGTAATGTTAGTATATTTTATTATGAAAAAGACTAAGCAAAGGAAATATAATTCAAAAAATAGTAATGATTTGGTGGGCATAAAGTGTGAAATAATATTATTACTCATGTAGGAGCATATAAAGAATGAGTGGATCTGTGTTAATGCAGCTAATTGTATGCCATATCGCTGAACGGCTAATTAGTAACACCACTCTGAGCCTAATCTCTCGACAGGCTTCAGTCTAACACTCAGTGGCTTCATCTACTGATTCTTAGTCTTAATTTGGTCACTACTAGTTTTCTCATACCAGGAAATCTGTAGATAGGGATAGGCGATGGTTGGTATTAAGTACTATGTAACAATTGCCTTGTTTTATAAGCGTACACAACTTCGTGAATCTCACTATTAATCAGTTGGTGATCTCATCTGCGAGTAATGCCTTGAAGGGTTTTATAACTGGGTATTAAAAACTTACGTTTGTTATGTACCTCTTAGGTCAGGTATTAGCTGTATAGTAATTTTATAACCCAATTACTTCACTTCCTGTGGTTAGGCCATGTATAAGTACTGACCAATCGTAAAATAACAATTTACATTTAAAGAGACCGAAACAAATCCTAACCATTGTTGTTTTGTTAATTAAGAATTTTAAAGGTCTTTGGACTGTTTCATCGCTCTCATCAAACAGGACTTCGTTATCTACATGTTCAAATAGAGCTTCAATCGATGATATGCAGTGTTATAATGTGACTAAGTGATGCTTGTTCACAAGACCAAATTAGTGACACGAGTTATTTAGTAATTTGAGGTCAAGTACAGGGCACCACCATGAAGAATTCTTTTAATGCAATAAAATGATGTACCTATATACAAAATTTACTTATTTGAACACATAAATATTGGTACAAGAGGGCACCAAATATATATGCGCCACACAAAACAATCAGAATTCGAAGAAAAAAAGTACAATAACGAACAGATTAGTGTAAGGTAGTGTAATAATAATAATGTGCAAAATATTAATACGAGAAATAAGTTGACGTTGGTGGTTGAAGGAAATCAGTTCGTAGGCCACTTACTATTCGACCAATAAAGTTATGAGCATCAGGCTCAATTCTTGCCAGTCGTGTTACCTGAAGTTTATGGTCAGTGGTTTACAGAATATTTACTGTTCCTTTAGTCAAATCTACCATCGTCGTATATCGTTGAATTTTCTTTAGATACTTCTCTTGACTACATGTTAACTGCTTTTAGCAAGGGGGGTTTCTGTATTCTTCTAGTAAGTTAGATGGTGACACAGCATATGACAAGACTCCCGATTTTAGTTGGATATCTCTCGATTACTTGGTCAATCCTAGAAATCTTGAATATTCTCAGCAGAACACTGGAGTCTGACAATTAAAGATTTCTCAAATGATTCAATCATATGAAGAAAGAAATGACCCAATGTTTTCTGCTAAGTTGTTCCATCAGATTTTACCATTGGAAAAGTTCGATATTTAGGCTTGAGAAAGGAAAAAGATTATTAAGGCGTCGATTATCGTAGAACAATCACTAGGTATTTAAGATCCGAACTGACTTCTCCCAACTTAATCATGGCTCTGTAGTTTTTGTAGACGAGTGTTCATTCTTTGGCTTTTTTTGCACCAGAATTCTGACAATATAAAAGTTTTTTAAATGTTAGGTTCTCCGCTATTGGTATTCCAACGAATTATTTTGAATAAATTCATCAAAATGGATACCTATCCGGTTTCATTAAAAGTTTCAGTCTACTAATACTAAATCAGTAGTCAGTCGACTCTTTAAAAATAATCCACATTCCTAATTCATACTCTTCGTAGCGATAACAATATTAACATGCGTGTGAGAAAAAGTCATCTTTGAGAGGTTAGTTTTACTATAAGGGACGAACTACAAGATACGTTTTAATGAAATTTTTGGAGTGGTCATTTTTACTGGAGACAGATATAAGATGGGCTTGTTTTGCATAGTGAGACTGCTGTAGTGAGTCATAGGGTTTGTGAATAGTATCTATACACAACTCTTCTAGTGCGCACCGTAGGTTCTTACTATTACAATTTAATATTTTTTCTATGTAACTTAGCTTTCCGTACATTTGTGTTCGCAGTGCTCCTTCATTTACTTTACTTATTGAGGCATCCAAGAATGAAATTTTATTTTGTGACTCTTTTCTTGTAAATTTTATATCTTCAGAGATGTTTTTAATCAAATTATAAACATTTTCAAGTAAAATTCTTTGGGATAAATGTTCTATTTATATAGGGTATCCAAATATTTGGTCTAATTCTCAGTAGAACCATGCAGTCTTGAGTCTATGATTCGACCATAAAAACACGTTCACTAATTGTTGGATGTATATCGAATATCTTATTAATGTTCCAGTCAATTTTATATTCACCAGTTTCGGTTTTTCGGTAGAATTTCTTCGTTCAAATCTACTAGTGCTTATCTCAAACTTATAGTGCACGGGAGTTGTAGTGTAACCAAATAATCATTATCTTCACTTACACATCCGACTAATTATTCCTAGTGTTGAGATACTGGAGAAGATTTGTTGTTCAGGTGGATAATTTTGATGGGGTTTTGTTCTTTGACCTCAGAGAACAAAACCCCATCAAAATATTCCTAGTTTACAACACGGTAAAGCTAAATACTGTCGTATACTGACTATTCGACTACTTACTTGTATGAATTAAATACAACCAAGACTTCTCTATCCGTCCTCTCCATAATTAATTGTACTGCTACGTTGGCAAATTCGATGTGCATCATATAAACGAAGCTATGATCTATAAAGTACGTACTCAAATTTTACCTTCAATTTACCAAATGTTATCTATTTTAGGTGTTTATTAAATCAGTGTTGTGTATATCACGAAACTACTTGGTACTTATGTAAAGTTACCTAATTTGTCTTAAAATTTAAAGTGGATTGATTAATATATGAGCACTGAGTATTTTCTAGACGTTATCGAATATTTAGGTTTTTCTGAAAGACGACCTGATGTAGAGGCAATAACTGGGTCATATGATTATTTCTTTGTTAATCATCTATCAATTACGAATTCTATCATCATGTAGCCATTTTCATTTTAAATTTTCTACATATCTTTATATACTTATGCTACTTTAAACTAATTTCATTTTCTGACCCGTTAGTATATTGTTTCATATCCATTCTTTGGGCTCTTATGTTAATAAGTCGGTTTTCATAAGTATCTATCATTCTACTGTACCAATCATGTCGAATCAAGCAATCAATCTGTTCAATCAATTTAATCGTTTGTTTTTTTCATCACAGAAGAAAAACTTTTATGGTTTAATATTAGATGGATTGGTACTTATTTATTTACAATCTTTTATTCACTATATTAATCTAATTATCAACCTAGTTGCCAACTTATTAGTTTGATACAATACGATGTACCATCAATAAGTTTGACAAGTCGGAATTAAATTATGACAATCCATCATGAAATCATCTATAGGTTACAATTCTTGATTACGTAATGATTGATTTGTTAAGGTTGATTTTCTTTTTAAGGTCAATTGTCAAAATTACTAAATGTCACTATAATATTAAAAGTTAATATTTGGATTAGCGCATTACAAAAGTGTTTTTAATCACCTAGTTTTAATTTAGTAGGTTGTACTAATGTACTTATGATATAATTTCCAACATCTAAATATCTTGCTAATTAAATTGAAGAATTTATAAATAGAGAACACAGGTAAGTTTTTCTATGTACCATTATATTCTTATATTGAATATAATGCCTACATTCAATTTGATAGGACTGTTGATGTAAAATGCTTTACAACTATTTAGAAAACATTATTATTTACAAGATAAGTGAAACATTCTAATCATTACAAATCAGTGTATGCTTAATGCATTGAATTATAAATTTAATAACATATACGGTCTTATAGATATCATTACCAAGGTTTGATTTGATAATTTCGAGTAAATTGAGCATTGGGTAGATTGTTATAAATAAAACGAATATGTTTAGAATATCTCAATGAGTAGAAAAATGAGATTTTCTAACGTTACGTGACTTGGTGTAAGCCACTTCTTCAGATAATAAATGACCAAATTAATAATATTCGTGTTGTTCCATTGTATTATTTAAACTTGGATTAATTTTAATTTGGTTATTTATTCTCTGAAGAAGTGGCTTACACTAAGTCACGAAACATCAGAAAATCTAATAATTTTTCTACTGATTGGGATATTACAAATATAGTATTTATTTATATACGGTCTTAGTTTAAGTAATGAAAAATTACATTCTTGATACAAGATATGAAGGTCTTCGTTCAATATCATGTCCTGACTTAAGTTTGTGCAGCTGATGAATTTCAACTTACTTACTTACTTACGCCTGTTACTCCTCGTGAAGGAGCATAGGCCGTTCACCAGCATTCTCCATCCAACCCTGTCCTGGGCAATCCTTTCTAGCTCCGTCCAGTTGTAATTCATCGTTTTCATATCTGCTTCTATTATCCGACGCAATGTGTTCTTTGGCCTTCCTCTTTTTCGCTTCCCTTCAGGATTCCAAGTTAGGGCTTGCCTCGTGATGCAGTTTGACGATTTGCGTAATGTATGTCCTATCCATTTCCATCGTCTTTTCCTAATTTCTTCTTCAGCTGGAAGTTGGTTTGTTCTCTCCCACAGAAGGCTATTGCTGATGGTATCCGGCCAATGGATGTTGAGTATCTTGCGTAGACAGTTATTTATAAATACTTGTACTTTCTTGATTGCGGTTGTTGTAGTTCTCCAAGTTTCAGCTCCATACAGTAGAACTGCCTTGACGTTC